GCTACAAGAAATGTGGAGAGGACTTTTTACAACAGCATATAGTAATAGGACAAGGGAGAAAGGCTTTAAATTGACAGAGGGTAGATTTAGATTACACATTGGGAAGAAGTTCTTCCCTGTTAGGGGGGTGAGGCACTGGAATGGGTTGCCCAGAGAAGTTGTGGCTGCCCCATCCCTGGCAGTGTTCAAGGCCAGGCTGGATGAAGCTTTGAGCAACCTGGTTTAGTGGAAGGTGTCCTTGCCCATGGTAGGGGCTTGAAACTGGGTGATCTTAAGGTTCCTTCCGATCCAAACCACTCAGTGATTCATGAAATCTACAGCTTCATTACCCTCCCAGTGCCAAAGGTTCCCTTAGGGCCAGAGGTATTTAAGTATAAATTGTACTTGATGCCCTTTGGAAAACTTGGTCACACTGAACAATTTGTCGCTGCTCAGAATGATATTGTGCATAATGAAAATATGTCACCTCATGACAGCTGTAGCTCAAAGTTTCAGGCCAGCCTCTGTCCTGGGTTCAGCAGTAGCAGTCATTTTTCTCCTCCTTGGTAGCTGGTGCAGGGCAGTGTTTTGACTTTCGGCTCAGGAACAGAGCCAATAACAATGATGTTTTGGTTTGGCCAAGGGCTTTGTGAGCCTCATGCTCTGCCAGGGAGGAGGGGAAGCCAGGAGGAAGCAGAGACAGGACACCTGACCCAAACTGACCAAAGAGGTATTCCATACCACAGCACATCATGCCCAGGATGTAACTGAGAGTTACCTGGAAGGGCTGGGAGACTGCAGGGTTGGAGGAGGTACTGGTCAGAGCTTGGTTGGGCTGGAGGGGCGAGTTATCGGTCAGCTGGTGGTGAGATGTCGTATTCTCTTCCCTTATTTCCTTTATCATTGTTATTACTGGTGGTAGCAGTAGTGATTTGTGTTATACCTTAGGTAGGTACTAAACTGTTCTTATCTCAACCTGTGGGAGTTGCATTCTTTTCAGTTCTCCTCTCCGTCCCTCCAGGAGTAGGGGAAGGGAAAGAAGGTGGGGGAGTGAGTGAACAAGTTGCCTGACTGGGTTTAAACCACGACACCTCCCTCTGCAAATGATATCCTCAAAGACCCAACACAGTCCCAGACATGTATCATTCCAGGACAAATAATCCACGCTGAAAATCTCTAGAACAGAAAGATCAAGCACCCAAATGTCTACTCCCACCATATGGAAATGAAATTTAGTAGTTACATCAAAACCTAGTTGAAAGCAGTTTAACACAGCAGTAATACATTTTTACTTAGTACTAACACATTGTTTGTACTGATAACATCAAGAAGCATAACCACTTCTAACAGGTGAGGTTTCTTGGAGCTTTCCATTCTTGAAAGCAGCCTACATCTCAACAACATTGCTCAATACAAAGCCAAAAAGTTACTATGCTGGAATTTACAGACAGTCCTGCTGCACACTCAATCCTTACTGTGCTTAGGTAAGCCACATCTATTAGCAACGCGAGGAACTTGCCAAGCTACAGCTAGAAGAAGCATCCCATTGCAAAACCCACCTGTATTTGCTGCATGCAGCATTTAATTGACAGCAGGGCAATCAGATTTCAGTGTTTTCTGCACAGGGATTCTAGAAATATCTATCATCATAGTACTTCGCAACTGATACGGCTGTTTACCGCACAGGGTTGGAGATTTCACAGGTCATGAAGAAAGGTGATCTAGCTGAGGTGACTGGAGAGTTGGATTTTCAAAAGGTTCTTGCTGATGTCCCTCATAAAAGCTGAAGTAAACTGCTGTGAAATAACCGAAATGGTCGTTTCATAAATCAGTTACTGACTACAGTAATAAAAAGTGAGAGATTACCAGTGTGTCCCCCAGAGGGATTCATGCATGGACTTGCAGATTTGAATATTTATCTACAAAACCAGTGAGTAGAAAGCTGGCAGTTTGTTGATATTAAATAACTTATGATCACAGAAGTGGAAAATAGCTGCAAAAGGATCGGGTACAGTACTGATTGCCTAGATAAAGCAACAAGGGAATTTCAAAAGTCAAATGCCAAATAACAATACAGTCTGAACTTCTCTAATGGGGTCAGAAGTAGCTGCTATTAAGAATGAACATTACTGGTTCCCTTTGTGGAACTGATCACAGGTTCTCTTTTCTGCAGTACTCATTTAGACCTGTATGAACAATAGTGTGGTGTTCAGTGAACTGAACTTTCAAAATTATGAGGAAAGAACTATATTTTTTTCATAGGAGCAACGACACAGATTTTTTGAAAGCTGAAAATAATATGTTTAAAATATCACTATGTGTTCTTACACTCTTCCCAAAGCACCCACTAGTCTGACCTACTATAGTCATTCTTAGAGAAGAGGTTACACCTTTTGAAACGTGGCCAGTTGTGCAGTAAGACTTTCAGACGTATGTAGGTACGTGTAGTTTACAAGCAAAGCAAGAGGGCAGTCTGGGGAGTGTGTTCAGTATCTTTGTGTCAAGGTTTCAGCCGCAGAAATAATGATTTACAAGGAATTTTAATATTAATTTGTATTATGTGCACCTTCTCTAATAAAAACAGCCTGTTATATTCCTGAAAAGATTCTCTTGATATTCCATCTTAACTAGATAAATTCATCAATGCTATCAATTACTGGCAAGAAGTACCAATTTTACACTAAAAAGACAAAGCACCTAATTCATTCAGTGATCATTGCAGGTATCACTGTGGCAAATGCAGTTAACTCCAGTTGGCAGCTGGTCACAAGTGGTGTTCCACAGGGCTCATTACTGAGACCAGTTCTGTTTGGTATCTTTATCAATGATCTGGATGAGTGGATTGAGTGCATCCTCAGCAAGTGTGCAGATGACACCAAGTTGGGCAGGACTGTTGATCTAGGGAAGGCTCTGCAGAGGGATCTGGACAGGCTGGATGGATGGGCTGAAGCTTGTGTGATGTTCAACAAGGCTTAATGCTGAGTCCTGGGAGAAAAGGGGACTCGGGGGAGACCATACCGCTCTCTACCAACTACCTGCAAGGAGGCCGTGGCAACGTGGATGTACTTACTGCCTTTCTAACCTGGATGGTGGACAAAACACACTCTCGACAGCCTGCAGATGATACCAAATTATAGTGTATAGAGGGCCACTGCTCAGTGAGAGATCAACTCTTGAGAAACAGGATGACAAGAGCCTCACGAACAAATGCAGAATGCAAAAATGAGCCTCAAAGGCAAATGCAGTGTCCTATACCTGCAGAGCTACTCCAACTCAGCAGGAAAGGCCAGATGCTGATAGGACAAAAAGCAGCTCTCCATAAAAAGACCAGAGTATCTGAGTGAACAACATGAATCAGGAGCATGTACTTATAGCAGAGGTGGCCCACAGCACACCAGCTTGTATAAGCAAGAGTATAGCCACCAGGTTAAAGCTACCTAAATGGAAAAGTGTGAAGATGGTACCAGACTCTGAGGTGTACAAACAAAGTGCAAGAGGAAATGTCAGAAATTCCGATGCATGTAAGGAAAAAAAATTCCTCACAGTGAAAGTGAGGAACCATTAAAACAGGTTTCTTAGACAGATGGTGGACTCCTCTTCCTCGGAGATGTTCACGACTCAGCTGGACAAGCCCTGAACAACCTGCTGTAATTGGACCTGCTTTGAGGTGCTTTGAGTGCAACCTCGCTGCACTAGGTAGCCTCCAGATGTCCCCTGCATTCTCATTCTAATTTTGGCTACGATGAGTATAGTCAAACTCCATATACTACATATGAGATAACATTCATGTTCTTGAAGCAAAATTTTCAATTGAATTCAGCTGTCCATTCAAAATGAGGATGAAACTAGTTGTTTTCATTTGGCCAAACTTAAGTCTGTTTCCCAAAGTTCCCATTTAAGTGAAGTTTAGTAAGAGTATCAAAACACTTTAAATGGCCTATTGCTTATACTTTGTCAGCAGTAATGTAAAAATACTATTTTAAAAATGTTTTATAAATTTGCCATTAGCTTCTGCTACTCAGCATCATGGAAGACTTTGTCCAGTTTCAGACACCCTCCTGTCTACCCCTGCGCTCAGTACAAGAGCCTGATAAACTTGAGCAAGGGCAGTGGAGGGACATCAGGGGGATGGAGCACTTGCTCTGTGAGGAGAGGCTGAGGGAACAGGGCTTGTTCAACCTGGAGAAGAGATTAGTTTGGGGGACCCAACAGCAGCCTTCCAGCACCTACAAGGAGGCTACCAAAACACAGAGCCAAGCTCTATCCAAGCATAGCAGAATGACATACAATAGTCATCAACTGCAATACGGCAGGTCCTAACCACAAATTAAAAGGGGAAAAATATTATCATTAAGCATTGTAAGAGTTTGAACAGAGAGGTTATGAAATCAGACTTTGGAAGTTTTCCAGACTAGCTCAAAGGCCTGAGCAAGCTTGTCTGAATGCAGAGCTGACTGTGCTTTAATTAGGAAGCCAGACTAGAGACCTCCCTTGGTCCCTCCCACTTGGATTCTATGGTGCGTTGACCAAACTGGACATCCAGCATTAGGTATTTTGTTTAGATTAAAAGATGCAGAATTGATGGGAAAGACGAGATGCAACTTTCAGCTAGCCATCACAAACACTACTACACCAATCACTGCCAGTCAACAAGACAACTCACAAAAGGAAAATATTCAGATGCTATAAATAGCTTAACTGCTCACCCAAGCTCTACCAGATTTGATTACACCACCGAAAGCAGCATCATGATAGATTCTGCATACACATAAAAGATGCAGTCTCTTTTTCCATAAAGAGTTATGCTGCAATGTCTTGCCAAGAGCCCCTTGCCCAGTGCACTGACTGCACCTCCCCTTTTTTGTTAACAGTAGCACAATGCCACTGATGTAATACTCCTCTTTATGGCCTGCTTAGACAATGCAGATTTTGTCACCTTGAACTGCAGTAAACCGCAGAGATCATTTGATTCATAAGACCATTTCATGTACACTGAAATAGTAAAAGGTGCATTCTGTGTATTTAAGAGATAACAGATTTTATTGTTTTCTAAAATATTTTACAATACAGAGACCCAAACCAGTAATTCCTGACAATTTTAGTAACCGTCTTGTGAATGAACAATCATGTTGGTAAGTTTTCCTTGACAGACATATACATACATCCACTTTCTAAGCCTGCACATTTTGGTTCATTGAAAATGACGACTAAATATATCTATAAGCTCAAAAGCAAACAATAAAATCCAAGACTACCAACAGTGTTTTATAGTTACCTCAAAACAGATTTGTTAGCTTCAAAACAGATTTGTTAGCTTCCTAACATAGCATATCTACTTACCTGATACTTGGGTTTTTGTTTGGGTTTGTTTTTTTTTAAACACAAATCTGCTATAATTTTACAACCCACTTTAAATGTAACAAATGCATACTATTTGACACAATTACAGATGGCCGAGCTGTAATGGCAAACAAAGGTAGATTTTACAGTGTTCTGCTACAATAATCCATGTAAGGACTAAAGCTAGTTTATATTTTGACCCATAGATTTATCCACAAATACAGATTTTGAGTATGTTAGTGTATTTACTGTACTTCTGAAAATCTAATCACAGAATACTTTGTCTATGGTACAGTAATGAATATGGCAGGAAAGCAGATTTAAATATACCTATAATTTAAACTCTTAAAACAGTCTAAATCTTATTGACAAAAAAAGGCTTGATAACTAATAGCCATGCTCTTTATATTTTGGAATATCAAATTATATGTACATATACACAACATAGATAGGCTCTTAATAAAAAGCATTTCATATATTTTACAGTCTTCTCTGTTCAAAAAAATTAGCCTTCACAGATTTAACATTTCAAATCACCCAAAAATCATTAGCAGTTTAAAGGAGTTCATCCTTATTCCCTGCAAACATGTGCAGGAAATAGCTACTATTCTGGGGCTTACATATAATTTATCTTTCTTTTGAGTGCCATTTAAGTTCTAGATGGAAAACTCTTAGTTTAAATGTCAAATCACGTAAACAACGTTCATAATAGAATCCCAACCCATGACACCTGCAGATAGCTCTGCTACAAATAGCCTTCTGTAACAGATATTTATTACAGTATTTGTTTTACAACTTCAAGCCATGCTGACAACATAGAAAGATTACTATAACATGGAAGGAGTTTTCATTCAGTCAATTGGTGACTAAATCTATGTCATAATTTAAGTATTGATTGATAAATCCAAGCATACAAAAAAGGTGCTTAACTACACAGCATTTAAATAAAAAAATACTGCATCTTTCAGACATCGCTAAGAACAAATAGAAAATTAATTATAATAATCTTTAAAATTCAAGTTGCGAGTTACTGAAGGTCACTTAAAATAACTGATTAAACAAAAGTGAGCGTAAGCCACATACCTAGGGCAGGATGAGGCACAAGCATAGAAATGCAAAAATGTTTAGGATTCACAATAACAGACCACATGGGGAGAAAAAGCTTAAAAATATTTTTCCTATCATAGTATTTTTTCAACCTAACCCCTCTCCTTTGCATTGTGCACAAGCTGTGAAACCAGTATCAAATTATTAGTTCAAGCTTTTGTCTTTAAATCATCATGATTTCGACATCAAGCTCTCGCCTTTCCATTAAAATATATACACTCTATACACCATTCAGCTTCCTCTTACTTTAAATATATACTATACAAGCCTATGAGCTTCTGTAACACTTCTGTATTAGCGTTGTCCTTTGTCACTGGATTGGTTCCACATAGTTTGCTGGGTATAAGCCAACTTGTCCGTTGTCCAGGCGTCCTTTGCACCAACCCTGCTCATCTTCATTCTCCATTTTAGTTAACTCATCCCCTGAAAAAAGAAGGAGCATTGTTAATAAACTGTAACCTTTTCAGTAATAACAGGTAGGTAATATGACAGTTATCTGCATGTCCACTGCAGACACGAAGATGCTGTATATGAGCGAATGAATGTCCACTTCAGCCAGGCAAAAGAGGCCACACTTAGTAATAATTATTTCTTTATGTACAACTTATTTGTGTCAATTTTTTCCCCTAGATAAACTGATTCGTGTTTCATCTTAGTTAGCAATAGGAAATACATGCTGAAGATATTACTAACCACAATGCAATCCCAAACGGCTATAAATATACAGCCTTGGTATCATTTAGGAGAACATGAATTAGCCTAGGGACTATAAATTCTTTGGTAGAAATGGACAAGCTTCACATTAAATCCTTGCAAGGTGTCAATCTCCCATAGCTCCTCTGTTAGATAAAAAAGTTAAAGCCTCATCTCCTCCAGTTTCTAAGCTCACCAGAGAGCTAACAGAAGAACATTAGGAAAGTGTTTGGCACTGCAGGCTGTACTTAGCTTATGGAGACATTTTACCACTATTTCTAGTGCGGCAGAATGAGAGAGTGTACAGTTCCAAGCATTCTCTCTACTTCTATGAAGTGCATGTTAATCCAGAGCAAAACCAGTGACTATCAAAAAGCCACACTGCATTAACAGTAAGCCGCAATGCAGTTGCACATGTAGTAGCAGCTAGGGCTTGGAAGCTCACTGATCTTGGAGGTCCATGAAATTATTGCCACTTTTAAGCATCATCTGTATAACAGTTACAGAAAACGGTCTAACAACTGCAATAAAGACATTTATTTATTGTATAAATAAATATACAATAACACATTTTGACAACACTGCATGGACTACATTTACTGCAGCTATTTATTCTCAAAGGCAGAGAGACAGTAGGGTGAGATATACATCTAGTAGATGGTTGCATCCCATCCTGTTACGTGATTATAAAAGCTCTCATAAGATAGGAATAAACAAAGTTATTCTTCCTCTTTGTAAGCCTCCCATAGTCATTTGCCAAGAAAAGGAAAGAAAGAAAAAAAAAAAGGCAGAACAAACCGCCAAAAGATGTATGAAGTATTCCATTAATAACAAGGAATTTCATGTATTAAAGTACATTCAATGGACACTATGCAGAATATATTTCTACAGCATGCACCCAGAAGTGATCACAAAAGCTTTGCAGGCAGATTCTTTGAATACCCAAGGAAATCCTATCTGAGGATATCCATGTACATTTAAACCAATCCCTAAAATGCATTAATCCTCTGTTGACAGCTGCTTAGGAGTCTACAGAAGTCTACATAGGAACACAGGCGTGAATACATTTTAAATTGTCTCCTGCACGACCTGGTGAGGTTTTTTTCCTTAGACTTTTTAAGTTCAGTGTAAACCTAGTCACACTAATACCTCTGCCTCAAAACTAAGTTTGACTGCAGCCATTCTGTAATTCAGCTCCTGTAAGTAGATTCTTAGCCTAGCATGTCATCCCTTCCCTATGATTGATACAATCATGTAATTTGGTGTTACACTGTACTTTAACTGTACTTTAACGCTCTTCCTTCAAAGGAATTAAGCTATTTTAAATTAAGCATATGTACATCCCACAGTTCATACTCCCTGTACTTCATTTTTACAGACCTCACTCAGAGAACCACTTGGTTCAAACAGTTTGATGCAAAGTCACACAGCTGGTACTAAAGCATCAGATATCTAACTTTGTATTTAACCTTTACATCTCTGTGTATAAACATTGCATAGTTTTGCTACTGAAAGGCTTGTTACTGTAAACCCTTGGAATGCCACCCTCTTGCTTTACAGGCACAATACACATATTTCAAAAGGATTAGCATACTTCCATCCCCTGCTAAGAAAAAGCAGCATTAAAGTCTACAGAATGAAAAATAATCTTAGCCGCTGTGCATTCCAAAGAAAGCTCCAGATGTTTGCTTACTACTGTCCTTCTGTCAGGGCACAATTCAGCACAGTTAATAGACAAACCAATCCACTGCTCCTCTCAGGAAGCCTACAATTATCTACAAAGAAGAAAAGTCAAATGTCTAAAGGTTTCACTACTGAGAAAGGAGGGAGGCGAGTGGAAGGCAGGAGCACCAACATCTGAGTTGTGGGGCTTTTTAGTTTAAACCACGCAAACTACATTTATAATATGCCCTGGAAAAACACTGTTCTGAGCACCAGCTTGCTCCATAAGCAGATTGGAAGTCTGGCAGTTCACTGCTCAGGTACATCACTGGCTATCAACTTTCAGCTGTAATATCCATCTAAGACTCATAGTAGATGGTGCAGAAGTAGCATACTTCTTGCAAACCCCATCTGAAACGGAAGTAGAACTAGAAGTTATCCTAAACTCTTTCAACACTTGAATCCTTTTTTTCCTCCACGACTAAATCAGTCATTACAGAAGAAAGTAAATGGCAAGCAAACAGGAAAAGGGACAAGATCAACGAGATTAACTGTCTCATCTGCAAAACCTGAAGTTCTGTTTGCTTTTGATAAACTACTCACATGCAATTTTGTTCTGGAATTCCTGGTCGGTAAAGTTTTAATGTGCAGTTTTGAGCACGACAGAAGAACAATTGACTGAAATTAGAGCTTGAAGGCATGATCAGGGCATAGATTTCACCTTTCATCACTAGAGGGTGCTGCCTACGGGCTGGCCGGATCATAAAAAACGAAGTTTCCCACTCTGGGGGCTGAGTAAGCTGCCTGGACACAGCGGCTGGCAGCGCTAGCCCAAGCGAACTGGAGGGCATCCAAGCATCCAAGGCATGCAGCCATCATGCCCTTGTGCCAACTTCGTATGTGTCAAATACTGTGGCATGTGTGTCTCCTGTCAGTTGGATCTATTCTGTTCTATAGCAGTGAGGTAAAAAAGGAATAGGGTATATGGCTCAAGGGAAATGTAACATCCTAAGAAGGAAGATGTATAGTAAGTGTAGCCTAATATAAGATGAAAACAGGTAAAGAGTGTTACTGAGCTTACATTTACTGAGGGGGAATGGAAAGAAAGGAAAAAGTTATCTGTCTATAGTTAAATATTGAACCTTAAAAAGTTAGCACTGTAGGAAGCTGGAGGCCAAAAAAGGGATGCTTCCAGTTTAAACAGAAAAAAAATCAGTTGATCAGATATTGTTTTAAAATTAACTGCTGTGTCTTTTCCTTTAAAAACAACAACTTTATAAAGTTGGGTTAACATTTCTAGACAGCTAAAAGCAGCAGCTGTTCCTGTCACCAAGAAAGAAAAGAAGACAGGACTCTATTAGTTCTGCAACTCATTTTGTTTAATGTAAAACTGTAAGAAAATCTCAAACATGCATCCAAACACATTCCAAACAGATCAGAAATCAGTGCTTCTGAATGGGGGATACTAAGCAGCACTATTGGGAGGGGGGGGGCTTAGGTAGGATATTGCAAGTTGTACATTCAGAGGACAGGTACAACTTCAGAAAATAAAAGCTGAAGAGAAAAGAATATTTATCAAAAGGAGAAAGGGGGGGTGGGGGTGATTTAAGTAAATGCTGTAAACTCACCAGCTTTGAAGCTGAGCTCATCTTGCTCTTGGCCCTCATAGTCATAGAGTGCACGTACTCTCACTTCCATTGCAGGAGAGGTATCTTCATCAAATGGATTAGTGTCTCCATTTGCATCAGTGGAAGAGAAGGGATTGTTGGACTCCTCATCAGACCAATCTGTAGGGTAGCCTTGGTTTTTCTCATAGCTGCTAACACTGAAAACAGATTTTCAATTACTCTTTTCTGCTCTTAAAATAGGAGACTAGAAATACCACCAAGATATGAGTTAAGCTTATCCTCCACTCTAAGGCAGAAAAGCAGCAGCATTCTTGCAATACATTTACAAAGTTAGAAAAAGGCAAAATTAAAAAAGGTATCAAAGACAACCTCCCCATGAACTCCAAAAACTCCTCTACCAATAAGCCTATATAATCAACAGGATTATTTACTCTAGAAGGTTAAAGGTATGCAGATACTAGATGACATGTATAATCTATTATCTGGTTTAGGATAAGACATTGCTTTGCAGAACCTTCCTCCCACATCTCTATGCACCTCTGCAGTAGCCTTCAACACTTTTTGCATGTTGCAATCCACCAATAGAGAAACTTCATTACACTGCAACAACTTGATCATTTAAACAAAAGTTCAGTGTTGAGCATGCACATGCCATTTAAGAGAGTGGTATGACACCCCCAGTATGTGCACTGAAGTAACAGGCAGCTGTTTGAGAAGGTCCTAAACAAAAAGAAAGCAATCATAAAAGCAGACTTATTCAGCAAGAACACACAGAGCAGTAAAGCTCCAGAAGCAGTTGCAGTACAAAAAACCTGTTGGTTTTAACAGTTTACAGGACTGGTAAAGGAAGGAAAAAAAGCAGCAGCAGTTCTGTTAGCAACTGCCAATAACCCCAGTAGTTTCAAACCATAGATCAAGGCAACAGATATGGCATCTGTTAGGAAAGACAAGTTAGGTTACAGTGTTGCTTACATAACCGCTTAAAAGGACTTCATGCACTGACCGGCATAGTGTTACAGAAACCAAAAACAGAAAACCCTGGATAGAGAAAGTGCAAGTGTGAAAACAATTAAAAAAAACAACATTTCACCAACTTTTTGATCTTACTGTCCTCCTTTTCACTGACAGTACTCCCAGTATCTTCTTCATCTTCAAAGGGATTGTAACTTGATTGTACTGACTGCACTGTGTTACTCTGGACACTAAGACTGCTAATTTGGAAAAGAAAGAGCATTATGGTGACCCTATCTGTTTTAGAGTAGAACACTGACACTGGCGTCCCACTATGCAGTTTCTTAGCAGACCCCTTCTCCAGGCAAAAACCAAAACCATAACCAAACAGAAACCCAAATATCTATCAAGGACAGCTTAAGACTCAAGAAAGTTCACAAAATCTCACGCATGATACATTCCTCCAGAATTACAATATCCTTCGTGGACCATAATTTCTTTTTCCTACTGCCTGCAATAAAAGGCAGTGTGATTTTTCTAGCCATTTTCATTTCTTTCTACAGCAATTGATATTAACAATTTTATATTAATCACATCCCAAATACTGAAGCAACTGTTTTGCAATCCAATATCTTAAAGGTCTTTTCTAACGCCATGGATTCTATGATTCTAAGATTCCAAAGTTTAATTGTCATTTCTAGAGATGGGAAGAGAGCAACAGACTTAACTACCAGATCAGCTACAGAAAGTTCAGTTTCTCATTAAGTTTGATCTCTTTTAATTACACTTTGGTCTCTTTAATTAATTAAAGAGAAATATGAAATGGAGAATAATTCAAAAAATACTTTATAAGCTGCAGAATCACATCACAACTAACATCTGGTTGGACAGTGACTTTTTGATCCTATAGAGCTTAGTGTACTTGAAGATAACAATCCTTTCCAATTAGTCTTTTTAGGCATGAAAAAATTAAATACCTGCTATGTTTGTTAGGCTGCGAAACTTGATCTCCTGTCTGATTAATACCAGTTAGAGTCACCCCATCAGAAGCCTTCTTTTTTTCTCTTCTACTGAGAGTGCGATTCAGATCTGCTGACCACTCCTGTCAATAAATGTAAAGCATGATTGAGAAATTTAATTGAACGATCACATTTAGTTTTCAGACTGAGTTACAGAACACAGATTTATACATACAACAGCACAATATGAAAAAAATAAGTTACTTTAAGTGTTTCAGTTATAGTTCTCATCTAGTTCCTACCCTAGAAATGCAAAGCAGTATCTGTGCTACTCACAAAATCCCAAGGTTACCTGTACTACCCTGCTTAGTATTCTGAACACCTTGAAAAGACTGAGAATACCAGACATCTGGCAGACAATTGGGGAAATAAAAGGAGTTGGCCAGTGCAGCTCTTAAAAGTTGTACTGAGAGCGCTCACTGTTTTAAAGAAAGCCAAGACATCTGGCTTTAAAAGGTAAACCTTACATTTAATTTAAGAAGGTATTATAACCTAATTTAAAACGGGGCTTACTTCTCAAGAAGGGCTCCAAGAGTGACCTATGAAGAAGCTAATTTTAAACTTGTGTATCACTTCTCCTGTCCCTAAGATTTGAGCCCTTAAGGTACTTTACATTTAGTGAAACTTACTGTCCTTAAGCCATCCGTAAGAATTAAGGCTCAAATCAACACAACTGTTGACAAGACTCATGATGCATTTGTAAAGTATCTCCTCCTTGACGTTCTGAGCCATTCAGATGTTTCAGAAGGCAGACAGACAGGCATGATGAAGCCTAAACACAACTTCTACCTATCAAATCAAATTAAGCTGCCTACTTATATAAAGCAGGAACCCACAGAGAACAAACCGGATTCAAGCAAATATCCTATGCTTAAACATGTTTGATCTCAGAAGCCTTAAAAATAAAAAACACACAGTCAGGAGATAGTTTGCTATACAAAAGATACCATTTCAGATAAGTATTCTTAATACTTAATGGGACACTAAGGTTTTGCAAGTTGCTGTTACTATTGGTTTATACATCAAGCACAGTCAGTCTTCAGTGATTTCTGGCTAACTTTTCAGACATACCTCATTATTTTAACTTTGTACAAATACATATTGGATTTCTGAGTTAGCATACTTTAAAGACCACTGACCTAAGCATATTTGCAGTTTATAATGCAATTTCATATTCATTTGATCATGCTGTTTTGTTTTTTTACTTACGTCATCCTTGTAGCATGTAAATGAGAAAAAACAACTTGATTAGAAACACAGTAACAGTATTTAATCTCTTAATTATAATGTTTACGAAAAAGGATGGTAGTTTCCCCACACGGAAGTAACCGTAGTTCAGCATTTCGGGCAAAGCAACTCTGCAGTAATATTGTAAGTTTTATTTCTCAAGCCTTCTAAACTGAAGTTGGTCAGTATTTTAAAAAGCAACTGCTATTTTCCATTATGGTTAATAAGGGAACAGTGAACACTCCAGAATTGATGCTTCCACTCCATTAATTTAAACCTAGAAATTATTGCAACTAAACCCATGATTCTGGTCAGACAAACTCATCTCTATTACAGCTATGTGATATTCTGGTAGCAAGTTCTGCACTGATACATTTTGGTACTTCTTTCCTGTAGTAGTTAGCAGAATACCACTTAAACCTCCTTTCTTTTGAAGAGGGCATTCAGCAATAAAATTACCAACTGACTAAGGCTGTTCTAACATAACAACATCAAAAAAAATAGTTAAGATTTATAAATACCAATTTTCAGGACTGAAGTATTTATTTCAAACTTTTTCACTTAAGTCTTTCCTGCCTACACTGTAATTATCTGCTAACAGCAAGCAGATTCAAACTGAAGACTGACACCGAAGGGGAGAAGAATAACACATACAGCTGTCAGGCGTGTATCAAATAAACCACGGCATACTCATTACTTCAGTAATTTTTTAGGTTAAAAAAAACAACCCAACAAAAAACCAAACCTCACTATAGGAATTTTCTGTTTTACCCCGTTACCTTTAAGTAGGTGTCTGATATAATTAACCTCAAAAAGCTGGGAGATAAGGAGAGCCCAATGGAAATCAAGAAATGAAAACTACTATGACTTGTAAAAGCAACAAAATTCACGGCCAGAAGCCTGAATGTAATTGTTACACCAGAAAGACTATGACAGAGGCAAAGAGAAAAAAAATAGACAAAACAAGTTTGGGTTGTAAATACTGGGACCTTACCTCAAACTGAGGCCAGTTCATTGACATCCCTGGACCTTGATTAGCTCTAAACCACCGCAAGTCTTCAACAGCATCTGCTGTTTTGATATTCTGTTCCAGTTCACGGTAGATGTTTTTGTAACTGCAAAACAAATTTGTCTTCAAATTTAGAATGACGTTTAGAAACATGGCAAATCCCCTAGTCAGGTTTAAAAAACTAAGTTTGTATTTCAAAGTTCACAATAGTATTCAAAAAGCTTATAGCAAGACAGACTTTTTAAAACTAACAGACCTATCAATGACCTGCAAAAAAGGAGTAGTCCAACCAGTAAGCTTGCTGAAAGTTCACAAAACCATAAAATCCTTATTTGCCAGATTTTAGAATTCTGTGGACAATTCTTTAGAATTGATTGCTGTATAAAGTAACTTCATTGGCTGTCATTAAACGTAGGATATACATAAGAATGAATTTAAATTATTGAATGCCAATCTTGAAATTTTATGAATTTAAAAGATTGTCTACAAGACAGGAGAAACTGTTTTTGTGCTAAGCCCACAGCACTCTGTGAAAACTCCTTTTTAATCCAATGAATCCATAAAAATAAAAATCTCAAACTTGAAATTAAATGGGTTAAACAATTTTCCTCTGCAGGTATAATATCTGCTAACTGCTTTTACTATTTGAGCTCCTCTCTGATTTTACTAACTGTACTATTTAGACAAATGTCAAATAATATAAAAAAGCACCTTACTACTTTTACTTATCTCTTAGGCTAATTGTTTTTCATTAAAGTTGAGTTCTCATAAGTAAAAAGTATTTTACAGAAGTCATGTTGCAGATGAAACTTTGATCCTCTGATCCTGAACCATGCACATGACGCATTTGTTCTACAGACAGTGACTACAAATACAACTGCATTTCTGTACAACTGTATTATATAAAAAAAAAAAAACAGTATGGTGCAACACAGAGTTTAGAGTATAAAGAGGTTTTAACACAACAGCCACAAGGCTTAAAATAAGAGACAGAGAACTGCTAGTCTGCATTCAAGCTAGAGAAATCAGAGAAAATCCTTTTAGATGGACAGAACCAAGTTGCACCGAATTTAGAATTTGAATTCGTTAGTGCTACATGTCAAGGAGTCAAACTCTCTTAAAATATACTTCCAGATTTCTCAGATTCTATATATTGCTTGACTGCTTTAATACGTATGCAGTATGGTTGGTTCCACACCCCCCACAACCCCATTCATGGCTCTTTGAATGTATTTAAACAACAGAAAGGCTCGTATTTTTAGAAAGAGAATAAATCATTTGGAATGACTCACTCGCCATCGATTAAATCAACAATAAACTGGAGGTCTACATCCGTAGAAAACAGAGCAAGGCTATTTTCCTGGAGTTTTGTTCTACACTTTTTTTGTTTTGGAGATTTGTTCTACACTTTTGTGCTTTGGAAGAACAAAATACAAGACATGCTTTATACATATGACAGCATAAGGAGCAGACTTTGAACTTAAGATGGACAAGAGTTCAGCAATGGCCAACCAACACATCTTTAACATTTATCTCCTAGTTAAGATAATTCCTTCAGACGGAGGTCTAATATTTTAACAATAAATGCGTTTATACTACAAAGGTCATGCTGTCTCGCACAAACAAATTCTAGATTGTTTTCCACTAAACATGCCAGATACATAATACTCCAAAACCCTCCTTTCCCAATCTTTGATCCAGCATTTTCTGATCCTAAGCTCTGAATCCTTTTGATTTTGGCACACATTTGATTGTAAAAATGCAACAAGAATGAGATCTTGGTTCATTTAACACTGCATTAAATAAAATTAGCAAATGTTAGGGATAGATGCTAATCTGATCTTAGACAAAACAAAGAATTAAGCTCTTTCACTTACACTTCAAGCAAATTGATGTAACACATTAGAAACAAACAGGTTCCAAACTCTACTTGAAGCATGGCTTACTTTTCACTGAAAACTATTCAGCATTAATTTTGAAGTTTTGCAGTTTTACCTTGCAACATTAGACAAATCAAGATGTTTTTGCACTTCCAGTAACACTTCCCGAAAGAAACGTAAACGTTTTTCCTCAAACTGCTGACACTGTTCAAATACCTGCTCCATGTTTTCCATATACTGAGGAGTAGCATTATCTAATTCTTTCAGTGATTTTTCATACTTCTCTTTTGTCTAGGGGTGGAAAAACAAACTGTTAGCAATATATTTTATTACTATCCTACATAACAGACTTATCAATGTAGTAATGGGCAAGATTTAGACCAGAAGTTCCCAAAATGCATTCGCTTTTCATTACCACTGTCCCTATGCTAGGTCACAATAAGTTATTTACCGAAACTGCAGAATTGTTACAATAAAGCTCTAAACCTCTTCTCGGATTTTTAAGAGAAACCATGACAAATGTTATTGTAATATTAAAGATAAAAAACAAGAATCCACACAGCAAGTCAACAGACAGTCTTTCAAGTTACAGGTTGCTTACTTAAAGTTCTCCAAATAACTCCCAAGTGTTATCTATTCTCCTTCAGTATATTTACATAGTCCACTGGGAGTTGTGACAAAAAACCCAAACATTGTATACATCCCTGTGAACATAAATCGCAACTCTGCAAGCTCAGTTAACGGACAGAACCTCAGATGCTACCTAATTTACAGAAATAAGTCAGACAGGCACTAAAAGATTCCACATGACATAACATCAGTCCTTTGGATCACAGGACAGCATTCTCAGAAGGAAAAGATGTCTTTGAAGAAAGTCACACAAGAAAAGCCTCTCTGTACCAGCCTGCTGAGGAGAATGAATGCAATAGAACATCATGTCATAAAGTGTAGTTAGTTATTTAAATGGTTATCCGTGTTCCTAAAAAATAATGCATTCTGCAGTCAAGAATGGCTTCAAGCTCAGATGCTGTCAGTAAATTTTAAGCACCTATCTCACAGCATCTCAAGTGAAATAACCCTCACTACTAAATGAGTAGAACACTGTCCCAGAAGTTCCCTGTCTTGCTCTGCTTTGTTCCTTGCTGAAAGTATTAACATGAAATAGAGGCAATACATTATTAATTCTTCACAGAAGAACTTGGCAGTAACATATGCTTTGGAGAGAATACTATATTTTAGTAAAGAACTGTAACTGAAAGTGAGCTACACCATAGTCCATGGCAAATTCAGGAAGGAAAAAAAAAAGGCTTAAATAAAACTATAGGTTAAAATGACTGCATACAAATGGTATGTTAGCATACAGTATACCTTTAGTACATCTTGTTTGCTTCTCTCCACTTTGTCTTGTAATTTCTTAAGTTGTTCAGGATTTAGTGCTGGATCAGCTTTGCTGTTTGTTTCCCTGGATATAGCCAGTTTCTCCTCTTTGCAGGCCGCATGGTACGCTTTCTTTGCTGCTTCCACCTACAAAGTCAATTTGATTATTTGCATCTGGGACAGTTTATACAACAACCATCAACTGAATCTTTCAGCCTTATAATCATGTTGCAATGCCCAAGTGTCAGGTTTTGTTTAAGGATGTTCTCTTTCTTTGGATATTTTTGTTTTTAATTTAGGCCAAGGAACAAACAGTACACAAGAATCAACATAAGGAAAGCACTGCAATACTTATGAATTAGCATTCTCTCACCATAGAAAAATTGTCATTCATGCATATTAGAGAAGTGTGGAACATTCTCAAGAAAAGGTTTACAGAGAGCCCCCACCAGAACGTTCTTCCTGATACCCATGTTCTCCTGCTTCCCTTCTTCTATAAACCTGTTATTTAAGAATATTATGACACTGAAAAAAAAAATAAAATAAAAACCAAACACAAACACTTTCCTCCTGTTCATCTCTTCGAGCAATTTTTAACTTTGAAATGCACGAAATCAGATACTGTTAAAATGATAACTTATATTCCACTTTTCCCAGATTTTCACTGAAGTCACCAAGATTAGGAAAGACCAACAGAAAAATACTTATTTTCAGAAGAGGACAGAAAGCAAGAGATCTGTTTAAGAAAGGAGGGTCCAGCAGAGAGAATAGGGAGTTTACTCCCTTGTAGAGATCTGAGACACGAATATACTATAACATAGGATATCTAATACATAATCTACTGCTGTACCTCTTTCAGCTTTTTTGCCCAAGGTTTCTGAGCTTTCCTAAATCCATCTTCTGCTTCTTTGGTTTCCTTAAATCCTCCCATCATTTGCTTATGAAAGGCTTCCTTCTGCCAGTTCTTGATTTTTTCAAAGTCTTCATTCATCAGTGAACCTTTTACTTCTAGATGTAGTTCACTCACTTTTTCAGCTTCTGACATAAAAGCACACCAAGCCCTTTCTACTGTTCCATACTGTGGGCCTAAACACAACAGAAAGTGTCATTCTCAGTAACCATCACCCACATGGAACTTATATTCCCAAGAAACTATCTGAAGCTATTGATTTATATTCACTTGTAAACAGCAATATCGATGCAAACCTAGAAAATGGAACAATTGCTTTTCAGACAAATTCAGAATCTTACAAATTTTTACACCAGAACAATATTCATTTAGCCTGGCCTCCTTCTCCCTGCACCATGAGTCTCAATATTCTACTTATTACCTCCTTAATGAGCTGATTTCAGCTTCTCAACATGGATAAGCAGAACTATTTCAGATTATATTAAAACGCTATCATATTTGCCTCCATTAGAGCAGTGAAAATGTCTTTTATTACCAGTGTTTCCTCACAGCCACTGCCCCCTCATTATTCAGATACACTTTCAAACTGTGTTCTATACCAGCAGTTACCTAGTAGAAAGAGCTGGTTCTCCAGATGGATTCCAGAACTGAATCTACCTGGATACCTCAACACTGAAGGCAAGATTCATCTGCTTCAGTAAGAAACAAGCAAACCAGCAGAGGAGCAGGGCTTTGTTTGTTTTAAATCAGTAAAAGCTTCGTCATTTGTCACATTATTAAGCCTTTTGCAAAGGCTCAATTACAGGCTAAAAAAGCACACAATTTCTACACTGTACTTACCAAAATAAAGATATACAGAAACCACTTAAGGTTTCAGAGTTCAAAATCAGAACACACTACCTTTTTCCACAAGTTGTTTCCACCTTTTTGCCCATTCCGTAAGCTGTTGTGCATAGACCTTCTCTATTCGTGCCCGCTCATGAATACAATTCATAAGATCATTGCAAAGTCTGTGACCGTCATCAATCCGTTTTACTGTCCGCTTGTAATTTCCAACCTATAAAGAGATAAATACTTAACAATTCCTGCTTAAAAGCTCTGAAAATAAATCTCCACCACAAATACTGTTACCTAGGAGAAGATAATCTACTAGCATAAGGTATTTTTTAATTAAACTTAAAACCTAACTGAAACAGTACCAGAGAGGCCACAAGTTCTGTAAAAAAGGTGTTAATTTTAAAAGTGAAACCTTGTTTTATCAGTCCTGCAATGTAATTATCGCAGTCATCACTACTGTTCTGATTATTGCATGGTAATGTTTTAGATAATCAAGATATTCAACACAAATACATTTCCCTCTTCCATGTTATTATTAAGTACCTAATGCCTTACGTTTATGGGTTTAATCTTTCAGGGTCAAAGAATCGCAAAGATATGCAAAGGAGTACTGCAACATCTGTCAAGCATAATAATAATTTCTGTTTAAGAATGCAGCGTGAAAGAAGCATAACCACTATATATACCGGATATGCCCTTTGTTACAGCTGGGCTTCACTGCTGACAAACTAGATAGCAACTATTTCATAGAATCACAAAAGGGTTTTCACTGGAAGAGACCTTAGAGATCATCCAGTTCCAACCCCCCTACCACGGGCAGGGACACCTTCCATTAGATCAGATTGTTCCAAGCCCCGTCCAGCCTGGCCTTGAACACTGCCAGGGATGGGGCAGCCACAGCTTCTCTGGGCAGCCTGTACCAGCACCTCAGCACCCTCATAGTGAAGAATTTCTTCCTAATGTCTAATCCAAGTCTACCTTTTTCAGTTGCAAATGTATACTGTAGTATTTAATGTGGGAAGATGGTCACAGCAATGACATGGAGCTCCCATACGTAGAATTAACTTGCGAGAAAGAGAGAGCGAGAAAGAGAGAGCGAGAAAGAGAGAGCGAGAAAGAGAGAGCGAGAAAGAGAGAGCGAGAAAGAGAGAGCGAGAAAGAGAGAGCGAGAAAGAGAGAGCGAGAAAGAGAGAGCGAGAAAGAGAGAGCGAGAAAGAGAGAGCGAGAAAGAGAGAGCGAGAAAGAGAGAGCGAGAAAGAGAGAGCGAGAAAGAGAGAGCGAGAAAGAGAGAGCGAGAAAGAGAGAGCGAGAAAGAGAGAGCGAGAAAGAGAGAGCGAGAAAGAGAGAGCGAGAAAGAGAGAGCGAGAAAGAGAGAGCGAGAAAGAGAGAGCGAGAAAGAGAGAGCGAGAAAGAGAGAGCGAGAAAGAGAGAGCGAGAAAGAGAGAGCGAGAAAGAGAGAGCGAGAAAGAGAGAGCGAGAAAGAGAGAGCGAGAAAGAGAGAGCGAGAAAGAGAGAGCGAGAAAGAGAGAGCGAGAAAGAAAAAGTTGCTCAAAGTACAAGCTACAAAGCATGAGGATATGGAGAAAAATGCACACTACATAATGAAATTTCATTATTTAATTAACTCCCCCCCTTCCATTTGTGCAAATACACCAACATGGAATCACCAACCTAGACAACTGAAGGGAAAAAACCTGATACTGCTCCCAGAATAATGTTTCTGCTCATTTCAAGGTCACTTGGGTTGACTTTGTAAACATTAAACAAGACGTAAGAACCTGGTTAACAGAATTTGCACAGCCTATTAAATATCACATTCTTATCTACCCTAACCACCTGACTGAAAAATAAAGATTAGCAATAAGGCTGTAGCTTAAATATTCAAACACTTCAAGCATGTTTGTAATTTTTACATTTGAATCGTATCCAATTCACATCTTAAACACAGGAAATCACCCAACTTCAGGTCTGCATTTATTCAGAATTTTGTCAGCAGATGTAAAGGCAAGCCATCTGCTTGAGGAAAAACTCCTCAAACTACACAGAGAAATAACCCTAAGAGGGGGAAAAGCCTGTATTAAGTGCTGGGAAAATAAGTGACTGCTGATAAATACAGGCATATGTTAGGACTCCTGACCAAAGCTGGGGAGAAAGAAGAAACTGAAGCCTGTAATAACAGGACAAAACCAATTCCTCATTTTTTCTTTTGAGACAGTGGTCTCAAAGGATTCATTTGGACATGTTTTTGGTTTGGGGCTAGATCCATTTCAACAAATCAAAGAAATTTAGGTAGCATCTAAGAAAAATGTTAGTTTACAGTCACTGATTTGTCTAAATCATGTTAAGAAAAAATAAATGTACACATACAACCCCTGCTTTTTTGAAGGTAGGAAGGTGTCACCAAAAATCAAGACAATCAATGCATCCATGTCAAAACATATTTTCTCTGGTAACAAGAAAGTATGAAAAATAACCTCAGATTTTCAGGTTAAATAGAAATTAAGGAGGCAGTTTTAAACTAGCACCATAAGCTAAGAAACATACATATGTAATCAAAGCATTAAGAAAATCAGGTACTTCAAAGAATACTTTCTAAACCCAATCATTCATCTGCTCAAAATCACTCCAGCTGTAGGTTCACAGCCACGCAGACTGTTAAAACAGGTTATACTAGCTTGGCACAACTACTGAAGCATAAATGCGTGTCTCTAGTTATGTGCCCAGGGATTTACGTCTGTAGCATGAACATTTCCTTTCATAAATCTCCACTATTAAATTAGCATTTTAAATGCTAATATTGAATGGGAACTGGCTGCCTCATGGTATTTTTAATGCTTTAATTTTGTGTTGTCTGAGCAAATTCTAACCTCATGGTAATACCTAGCAGTTGCCAAATCTCGGGCAGGTATTTTGAGAACTGAATTTAGCCTACCTATCATGGCACACTCACTATTGTCACATAAGGCCACGCATAAGGCCAGGTCAAAAAGAACTGCATGCAAACCACAGATAATTCACCCATGCTACCTCCTTCTCAGGAGGACTGAAGGAACTGGCATTATAGAAACAGTATAGAGAAGAACCAGGCCTACAATACTACAGAATGACAACCCTGTATTCCAAACAACGCCTTTATACTGACACTTTCAAACAGTTTCATACTGCTTTATGAAACAGTAGTTTAAAGCATGTTGGGCATCACATTCAACTTTCATGCCCTAGGAGGAACTTTGCTAGAACTCTGGAAATGCAGCATTTTCCTGTGTTTCATGACACAGGATATAGGTTATATACTTTGCATTTAACATTTTAGAATGATAAATGTTAAATAAATCTAGTGGTTTATTTAAAAAATACATTTTAAGGGTACGGATGATGCATGGAGAAAAAACAAACAACAAAATCACTTCTCTGAGAAGTGGAATGTGCAGCCTGCCACTGCAGGAGGCAGACTTGAAGGTACAAGTGCAGAAGGTATTTAGACCACAGAGCCAAGGGAAAAGAACTCTAGTCTTTACGCAGCTAAGGAACTACTAGATTAACTATAGTTAAGTTAAAAGAATTAAATTCAACGCCTATAAGCACACTAAAGACGCACTGGATTCTGAAGAAGCACATGACTTAATATATTGTTTTATTCAAGACTATTTGCTCCAATTCTTGAGGTAGACTGCAATCATTCTGGAAGACTTGCCCCCTCACAGGAAGTACGTGAGCTGAAGCAAAAATGACAGTCTTTTATTTGTAGCAAATGACCAGGAAAAATGAAAATAAGAATACCCTGTTTCAGTCAAAGCCACAGCCACATAATGCCTTCCAATTTCCACATTTCTCAACTAGCACTGTACATGAACACAGAATTTTGCCAGTTAGAATAACTTTCTGATCATTCTGAGCATTGGGCTATTTCCTGTTAAACAGGCAGCAGACAACTAAAAGATGAAGTTCTACAAGTGAAACACTTGTTTCAAGAAGATAAGTTGCAAGATTATAAACTTTCTTACAGTTTCAAGAATAAGAGATATTTAAAAACCTATATCCAGCTTTCATTTAGCATCAACACCTGACCCATCTGAAAGACATTTTATTACACAGTATGACATTCAGTTGCTGTTTATCCTTACTTGACAGAAACATGTCAAAAGGAAATCGCCACAAGAGTTTATTTCTTCAAAATACAACTCTAATGGTAACTTTGATGCAATCAGGGAATTCTGTGAAAATTTTGATTCAGTTTTGTGTGTCGTGTGTCGTCGTTCCCCCCTCCCCCCCCCCAATTTGAGTTAATCACCAGTTTCCTCTTTTCCACTGGAAAAAAAAAAAAACAACTGAGCTTTGCTATTAATAAGCTTTGGTTGATCCTATTTTGCTCCATTTATTTCTTACAGACATTACAGATGCCTTCAGATCTCCATTTTGCTTAGTCAAGAAAACATCCCTTCTCATTTTGATATTTCCTTTCATGTACAAAGACAGTGATGTCACCTCAAATCCTTTGTCAAATCTCAGATTTAGAGAATCTAATAGCCAGAATAAAAACACACAAGCACACTGTGATGAGGCATTTAGCATCCTTTGTGACCCCCAGTGCAATAACATAACCAAGCACTGCTGCTGATATCATCTTTAGTGGGAATATTTAAGAGCTTACAACCTCATTATTTTACAATTTCACAGCCCTAAACACAAGGGGAGGGTAGTCTTAAATTATGTAGGCTCCTTTATCTCAACTAATATGACTTTTTCTTTTTAGCATATGCATTGAGCAGAGTAAGAGCCTATAAAGAGTTAAACACACTTACCTGGTTTTCTGGTACACCGAATGAAAAATTAGAATATTTCAATTCATTAGCAGCCCAAACATTCAGCTATTGCTACGCTTCAGTCAGTTAATTCTAATATATCATGATAATCCTCGCAACCACAAATATTTCAGGAGTTTCAAATGCCTGGAGAAATATGTGATGGCACCTCTTTCTCCAAGTTTGTCTAGTTTATTCATAACTAATCAGTCTTTATGAACTGGAAACATGTGAAAGAAAGTCACCACAGCATACAACAGGGTTGGGTTTTTTTTAGGGAGGCAAATAGGCAGTAAACACAATAATGAGCTTTGAAGGCTCATAGACAAACCCATGAATACTGATGGCCAATATGGGGACACAGTACTTCCAGCATTCCATTTAACAATGAGCCCAATTTCTTTCCAGCTACATCAAACAAGGTTTCCAAGCACTCCAACCAGCATTAACATTTGTAATATTGTGGGGTTTTTAATTAAATAGAATTATCTTGGTGCATAATTAGCACATACACAGTCCAAGTACCTATGAGCACTATCTCTATGTACGTTTTCCTCTACACATTCACCACTGGTTGACAGAAAAATCCTGAGGAAGCTCTTAAACCCACAAAATCTAAAGCCAAGCATACTAGTAAGCAAACACCTGGCAATGTAAATGGAGAATACTGTTGCTCAGTATTAGGAGGAAAAAAAAAAGCGTATAGGAGATGACAGGAATCTACTATTGCAGACTCCAAATATTTTTAAAATGAAAAAGCAAAACAGAACAGTGTTTCATTAGCAAAAAGCATTCACTGACAAGTAACTGAAATTCCCCAACACAGGAATACTTCTCCAGTACTCAAGAGTGAGTTTTGGGAGATTCTCCCTCAAATTCCCTGCATCTAATCCCACTCCCCCCAACCAAACAGACACCTCATGTAGATGCTGGCTGACAGCAGCAGGCATTAAGCACTGGTACGGGGAGTACCAAATGGGCAGGACCAAGACCATCTAAGCAGACAGCTTAGATAGGAGGCATGTCCCAGATCAGCTGCTTCTGCTATCCTGACTTTTGGGCTTGGGCTTTGCTTTGGGGTTTGCAGGGGTGGGGGGAAGAAGAATGGGAATGCATATGATAGCATCCATATAACTCATCCAAACTACATATGGGACCAATTTCACCTTTCTGAACAAGATGAAACTCTTATCTTGCTAGTGGATATCTCAGCAAATACTCCAGAATGCAATGAAAGCCATGTGCTCCGCACCTCAAAATGCACACCAGGTCCTGTCCTCCAAGGGCCAAGTTAAAGGCTTAAGTTCATAGAGCTAATGCCAGCTGTCAGTTTAGCAGCTATTCAGAATGGCTATTTTCATTTGAGTAAGCAGGTGTTTTTACAGGACAGTTAAATAGCCCTGCAATAAATGGAGGGCTCATATTGCTGAAGCTAGCAGAAAATCAGGGAGAGTAAGGACGCGCATCTAGGGTATGAGTGGCACACAGCCTGTGAGGGACCTACAGTTCATTAGAAGTAAGTGCTTCCACAGGCAAGGTAGCTGTTCCTTTTGATGTCTTACTTTGCAGGATACGCACACACTTCTACTTTGATCTCTAGGAACACTTACTCATCGTTGTTCTTACCTTCACTGGCATCTGAGTGAACGATAGCATTGGTCTCTGCTTGCTCAAGGCATTTTTCTTTTAATATGACCATAATAGTGATCAGCAATCATAAGGCCAGAGCCAAACCAACCAAACACATCAGAAAATTGGCCTTCCATTCATTAATATACCAAATTCTTTCATATGCATTTCAAAACTACTTCAGTAGAACAAAGACAATAGGGTTGTCCATTTCTTGTGTTTTACTGAAGCAATGCAATTCTGGAACCAGCAGTTCCACCACAGTCTGGTTTTGGATGCAAGTGGCACAAATGATTATGATAAACTAACATGTATTTATGGCAGTCATGCAAATGCTTTAAGGGTCCATATGACAGATAAGAAAGAAATACAGGGGGGTTCAAATTGCATGTCAAGATCCAAATTTTCCACTTTCCCTTGGAAAAGTTGCTTCTATCCTGCTCCAGGCTATCAGCAATAATCTTTTGATTACTCAAAGCCACCCTTGTCAGCTAAGCAACACAGATGAAGGTATTCTTTCTTGAAGCATGTCAACAAGACTACTTGGTTTTAAATTTCTACACTAAGAGAGAGCCATAAGCTTAATCAGATACATCAAGGTACTTGTAGGCCTGTTAGGAAAATGAACAAAGAGAAAGAAACTTCCATTTTTTATGTTAAGTCATTACTACAACCCAAACAACTCCTCCACTGTTATGGTTGCAATTATCTTTCAGAATGTCTTCTTATTTTGTAATCCCTTGCTCTCTAAGCAACCCTACGTGAGAAAATGTTCTCTGTCTGCAAAAGTACTTTTATTTGGTAAACAATTGGACAAATTAGAGGAAAATAAAATACCTGTCCTTCTAAAAAAGATTTATCATCTTGCTAGAAGACAAAAAGCTTTTAGTAGTTGCTTGGGTTAACTAAATGCAGAAAAAAATGCACAATTTAATTGTGAAAGCTGCTTCTATTTCTGTTTCATGCTAAAGGACTACATATAATTCTGAAAGCCTCTTTTCTTCAGCTGGATCAGCTGTTCTGATCAAGATACTATTCAGGTCTTGTCCTACCCAAATTTTTTGACATAGATCTATAGTAAGTCAACACCAAGAACACAAGTCCAAACAGTAACTTCTCCCATTCCCTTTCAACAAGACAACTATTTCCCAATCACAAATCTGAACCTGATAACAATATCTGTGCAGTAATAAAAAAATACTAGGATTTAAAGGGAACAAATTACTATTCGCATTGGATTTCAAGCACTGAGCTTCACCTCAGTGCCAGAACTGGAAGTTTCCATGAACAGTACTGAAATAGTAACCTCATAAAAAAAAAAAAGGCGTTTCATAGATGAAGTAACCTGTACTGACTGCTCCATGCACAGTGTGAACGTATGCAACCAGACAAGGTTAGAGCAGCAAGTTTAATACTATTCAACCATATAATATAGATTCACATTTGTAAGCGTGAGCAAACTGCTAGTAATTGTCTTACAAGGAACCCTAGCAAAGGCAGTGATAACTCCAAAAGAAACCAAATGCTTCTAGAACTGGAAAGCTGATTAAAAACCAAGCGGTTTATTTCCTAGAGACAACGTTTTATGAATTTTCTGTCAAATGCAATGGCAAAAACTTTGAAGTTGGTTCCTCAACATTTTATTAAGAACAGCTCTGATCAGCTCAACAGAACATCAACATTCAAGAAATACAAGCAGTTTAGTTTCAAAGATATGCAGTGAGCAAGAAACAGTTTCCACAGTAAGTTCTTCAGATGGTTCCACATCCAGCCACCTCACCCTTTCCTAAATGTCTTTCAATAAAAAGATGGGGTTTGCAGCACACTCCAAAAGTAAATAAATTTGAGCTATTTTGGAGCCTTAGGGAACAAACTCAAAAGCTCACCCTGCCAGATTGTCTCTTCTGTGCCATGGCCAGGTTTAAATACATTCACTGCTTTCAGCTGTGGCAGTAAAACACAGCAAAGTGGCTTTCAAAAAACTACAGGCTGTCTTTAAAAACAAATGAAATACCTATTGCATCAGGTATCTTAAAAAGCATCTGGCGAAATGGTGAGAATGACAAAATCTCCGGTAACAATACAACTTCCCAATCGATTAAGAGTTCTTCACTTCCTGTTACCTGAGGCCGGAAGTATTGAGACTAGCATTCCAGAGACACCGCATCTTTTCTAATCAAGTCAGACAGAACATGTTGGTCAAAGCAGTTTAGTTATCCATTATGAAAGATTAAGACTGGAATTCAAAGTTACAGTCTTCAGAAACAGCGTAACTTATTCAGAACATATGGAAAAAGGACATGTTTTACACTAAAATTCAGCCCACCCAGAAAGCTGCCTCAGCATAAAACAAAACAGAATAGCTGAAGTTAGAAAGAACTTCTGAATATCATCTAGTCCACCCCCCTGCTCAAAGCAGGTCTGATAGGTCAGATTGCTCAGGACTATCTTCAGCTGAGTCTTAGACACCCCCGAAAGCAAAGGTCCCACATCCTCTCTGCAGACACACTACAGAGTACCCTTACAACAAAATAGGTTACGACTTAGAATTCAGTTATTTCTCAGTAATTCAGTAATATATCACTTTATAAATAGGATAGACACATTTAATACGATAGTAAATATGTCTCCTCAAAAAAATGTTAGTTGTCTACTAAACAAGAACCTCACTGGCATTAGATCTTTTAGATAACGTATCGAAAAATAATGGGAGATCTGCATCAAAACACAATATGCCCTCACTGCCACCAACACAGGTTAGTGATCTAGGAAAGCCTTCATTTCAAAGGTAGCACAATGTTAGGTCACCAAACCCAGATGTCTTACATCGGTCTCTGATAACAGAAATATTCAGACACTTTCCCCCTAGCCATTTTCATATTTGCTATAAGAGCTCAAAAGAGCTCCCAGTCACATGGCAGAAGTTTGCCCTACTGAATACAGTTCATCTGGACAGAACTGGTACTTACCTCTAATTATGACAGCACTGACACTGTCACACCTTTCTTTTTCTTGCAACAAGCTTCTTTTTTTTTGTAAAATGCTTCCTGCATTATGAAGTTTGCTCTCTTTAAAGCTTAATCGAATTATCGTAACATCTGAAAGCCTTCTTCCAATTGGGGCAGCACAAGCTACTGATACTACAATGTGCTTTGTATTATCATTCTGCATGCATGCTCTTACATTGGGATAAGCGTAAGATATTGTCTCTCAAAGTTTATACTTATATCTAGACAAACAGGAGACATGCAGTACAGTCACACACTGTATTTGTAATTTATGCATGCTTACAGTAGCCTTTAACAGTTAATTTAGCTCTAACATTGATTAGTCAACCCTCTTGGTCATTTTAAAAACTACTCACCCACAGCTCTCTTCAACAAGTGACACTGACAAAGGTTCAATTCCGAATGGCATACCCTATGCAAATGGATGATTCTCAAGTTTGGGCCAGTTAAAAACCCTTGACAGAACTAGGCCAAAATCTAAAAGGTCGTTTCGACCCTGAAGGCTGTTTCTGCAGATCACAATAACCAAAAGAGACTTCTATTGCAGCTCTTTCCACAGTTTACAATGTACAAAATACATTTTCTATGATAATAGTAAGACGTAAAATAAAAATATTGTGATAAAATATTAGGGTTACCTCCCAGAAGCTATCACTAGAAACTTCTACTCCAACAGAATCATCATATGAGCCAGACATTTCTATGTATGGAGAGCTTGTAAATATTCAGATCTTAAAACACTTTCAGAATCTGTAAAGAGAGAAAAAATATTTATGAGCATTATTAATGAAAAACAGTTATCAAAAGAGAAATGAAGTTAGGTAACATCCTTCAATTTCTTGATATCTAGGTATGCCAAATAAAAACAACACAGGGCATGCAGATAAGTGCATTTCATAACAGAACACTGTTCTACCACACAAGTTCTTGGCTCTTGCCATCATCGCATTTGTTGTCCAGAACGTGTTCAGTCCATCTGTCTATACAACATTTCAAACTGCTGATTTTATTTTGTCATAAAATTTCTTATTATAACAAAAGAAAAATAAAAAGATTTGCAGCATGATGCTTAGTCGGTAAGTATTCCATTTCAAAGCATTCCAGAAGAGGCAATCAATTGACCTTCGCTACCGCTACCATAGCCTGCACTGATTCCTATTCCTTTTTCAATCCTGTTATATCATTTAACCAAATGCAAATATTTAAGGGCAAAACAACTTGCTGCTTTAAATAAAAGTCCTCTTTCAGAAGGAAGATGTTTTATTTCTGTAAGAATTTTAGATTCAAATCATCCACTTGAAAGCCAAGGGCATCTACAAATACAAAACAGAGCTTCCTTCACACTGTAAAGCAAAACCAACATGAAGAGCATTGCAGCTATGTAAGTAGCAGGAGACAAGACCAGCCTCCTTCCCCAAAGTCTTAGTACAGTTTATGATACTCAGACAGCCTGTTATCTCACCCAGCCAGCTGTGACTAGATCTCTTACTGAGCTAGTAACCGAGCTACTTGTCATCTTCTTGCCACAACTGTTGTGCATTTTAAAGCAGATAATGGATTGTAAATGATGGTATGATACACTTATATACTGTTCCCACATGTGAAAAGTTAAAGGCTGCATGACAGAAGGTCTCCTTGAAGCTGACAACTGCTTTGCCTAGAAGTTCAAACTTCCACATGCAGTTTTACTGAATTATGTGACATGTTACCATACTATTTATTTTAGCATTTATCTTTTAGTAAAACAAACAAAGGGGGGGGGGAGGATCAAGTCCAAATTTTGATCTTTATTAAAAGTCATTACTTTAACAATTCAGACATTCTCACTTATACAGACACAGCTGCATGGAAGAAAAACATGATCTATCCTCATCAAAAGAGGTGACTGTAAAATACTGTTTATGGGAAAAAAAAAGAAAAAAGAAAAAAATTAGGGCTCCCCTAAGCTAACATTTAAGGTGAGTATCAAACCCAGTACCAAGGCAAAAATTCAGGCACATCCACAAATGTGGTTTGTGCAGCAGAGACAAAAAGGTAGGAGAGGAAGGAAGCAGCTGCTTCCCACAACACACACATGCAAATCTCTGACTCATCTCTACAGATACTTCATCTGTAGAGTTCTCCTGTTTAGATTTCTCTTATCAACTTTGCTACAGCTACTGCCAGGGTTAAGTAGATTTTAACACCCCTTCTAGGAGGGGTATCTTCATCAGTAGGATGTAAGGTGAAACTCCCTCTTTTTTGCCCTATGAATTTCCTTAATGCCTCACGTGGTTTCCCTTAGTGCAAAAGGAAGAGCAGAAAACATCTACAAATCTGGCCTACCTTCCACCCTAGCGGTTATAACACACTGCTGACAGAAACAGCAGTGAAAGCTTCCACGGCCAAAGAGAATTTAACACTAAATTCTCATTTCTTGGACACTATGAAAATAACTGTAGGCATACACTGCTTGTTTGTACCAAAAACTAGCTACTGAAACAAAACAGTTGTTTGGACAGTTACAGCACAAACAAAACAAGACTGCTCGGGCTGAGAAGACAAGCTGTTTCTCCTGAACAGTTTTTCATCCAATTCATTTCCATAATGCAATTCACAGAAAGCTTAAATAACATGAACACTGAATACAGAACTGAAAACTACACCAGGAATATCAGTTGTTATATTTTTATTTTGAAATGATAGTCAAAAATACAGGAATGGTTCTGCAAAATGGCAACAACTAGAAAAGATGATCATCTATTGCGACAAAGAGTTTTAAAATGCCAGTGTAACAGTTATCTGCTTGTTAGGTTGTTAGTAACTGCCAAAAAAAGCCCCATTTCCACCTGTGCTTTTATTGAACCAAGAGTGTGTTAAAACACTACTCAATTGTCAGTTTCTCAGCATTACATCTTGACATGGAATGTGTTTTCCAGATAAATTTTGGCCCTTGCAATTCTAACACCACACCAATGTAAGCAAAGATCACATTTGTAAGCATTTATACTTTCCAACAGCCTTTCACTGACAGAATTAAGCAGCACAAGGAGGAAACAAAAGTGTGATAAACTTCCAACTAGTTGGATGAACTCAAAAGAATAGTTTAACATTAAACAGCCTTTTCTAAGGGTTTGTTTGTTTTAAAGTTTTCACAAAAATATAAAGTTACGAAGTGGTATCTTTAACCATAATTTCTGGTGTTTTATCTGATCAAAGGGAGACCTCAAGTTTAAAGACAAATTGTTAGATCAATAAACATTGTTTGCTAGATTCTGTAAACTGTTTGTGTTTTCTTGCCTTTTTCCCATTAAGGCAGCACTAACACACATATCACTCTCAAGCCAAGCAAGCTGTGGAAGCAAGTGTTTGACCAAGGCATGCCGTGCAGAACAAGGGGAGGAACAAGATGGCAGAGGTTCTCAGGAACCATTATAGCTGTTTTTCTTTAGCACACCGAAGTGTTTACTACCCTTTGAAAGAGATCAGGCAGACAACTGCGGCGTTCAGTGCCTTGGAAAAAGAAACTGTATGCAAAATTATAAACTTAAAGGAAAATTTCAGCAAGTCACCCATCCTCCTCCCCAAACCACACACGAAGTATTTTTGTCCCTCCAATTACAAAAACAAACTGGAGCAATAATACAGTGTCCACACACTACACCACTGCTGGAAATTTAATCTGAAAAGCTACATGGGAAAACTGGAAAAGCTGAAACAGAGGAACATTTTCTTAAGCGAGAGTACAGGTTGTGGGGACTTTTTCTTAAACTTTTATTCCGCCTCAACTAAAACTGCATAATACACAGAGCTATCCTTTTTTTCCATAAAGCATGAAAATGATCAGCACTCAGGAAATTCTGATGGGCTTAAGGTTTTTAAATGCCAAATACTATGCTGTGAGAAAGTATGAGCAAGCGTATTTAGGGAAATATTATGAAGTCATAGCAACAACTGGCACAAAAAAAAAAAAAACACTATTTGTACAGCACTACTTAAAAATAAACTGAATACTGAGATAGGAACATTAAGCAGTATGAGTCATACTACCCTCATGAAATAGAACTATTACAGCAGCCAGTCCTTTAGCACATTTTTTGTTAGGGCTTGGTTTTCCCATCCTTCAAGTGAATTTGTAGAGGTTTCACAATGAACGTTCACTGTACTTTGATTTGCAGGGTCTTCCATTTCACTATAAAAAGTAAACCTATGAACAACTAGGCTGTTAGTATGAAATCTGGGAAATTCAGACCAAGATTACAAAAGAGGAGTTCTGCACAGATTCTCTCTGCAAATGATCACCTGCATCTTACAAAGCTGGGGGCTCTCTGGTCAGCTACATTTCAGCAGAATGAAGAACTCCATTGGAAAGTACACTGCCAACACCTAGTTCCTATAGTTCCAGAGCAGTTTAGCTTCATCCACTCTGGCCTTTATCTACTCATTCCACGACTGCAGGCCCAACTCTTCAAGAGTACCTATACTGCCTTTTTCTTATCACTCAACCACCTGGCTGAGCAAGGAGCAGTGTGCTCTAGCAGTTTCCACCCACCTTCATAATGAAGGGTAAACCAGCTTATCAAGCAGGACAAATTATTACCAAGCTTGTGTTAAGATTTACTTGAGCAGGTGCATCAGTTTAGGTTTTCTTCCACACAGCTGCCAATTTTCACAAAACTGGTAAGAAATGTGTATCTATTAAAGATCTTCAATGAACAGAAGTCGCCTCTGGATCATGCTCTGTGCCTTTTCTTCAGCATGCTCTTGGCCAACACGAATGAATCTCGTAACTAGTACTTCTCAGGGTATTTTCTTCCTCTGTGTCAAAGAGCTTTGGAATTTCCACTGAAGCCCAAAATCTCAATATTTTATTAATCATCAAGTCCAAAGGGGTTAAAACAAGTTTTTACCTGTGGCACCACAGGCACATAGGCC